ATATATTTTATATCAAAAATATTTTTACTAAAGGTAATAACATAAAAGTATTTTGCCATTATAAATTAATTAGCTCCTAAATAACTCAGGATATTCCAGAATCCTAGAACTATTCTAGGCGTCAAGTGTCCCAATATGTTCTCAGGCATTTTATGCTATTGGAGTTATTTTCATTTATTCATTTTCATCTTTCAGTACATATTCAAATAGAAAGGATTACTTTTGTAATAGTAATTTCAATTATTAAAAAGTGTATCACTTCTTTTTACTACAAAACTCCATAGTACAAGTTGTACGGTCTTGTGATTATCGTTCTTATATATATCCCACACAGCATGTAATATCGTAGAAATATCACAGCAATATTATATTTTCATTGCAATATTACCGGGAATATAACAGAAACAATGCTGGAATATTACTAAGATATCACAGTAATATTAAAATGTCCGCGGCAAATGCATCACAGTAATATAATGGTGAAAATCACAATTACTGTGAGAAAATCATAATATTTAAAAAACTATACTTATATATTCCTAGTTTTCTCACGTTTCATAAACTACGTATCGAAGGTTGTCAAATACACTCCAAACTTTCGTGAAATCCTCCAGCGATAATTTCGATCCCAAGCAGTATAACCACTGGTCACCCATCATCCATGTCCTAACCACATTAAACTGTTGCTTAACCTGACGATCGAGCGCGCAAGCAGTGACTCTGATGACTCCAACGATGTTCTTACAATTCATGCTTATATAATGTATCCTTATAGTGTTCACAGTACATTATAATATACTTAGCAAACATTAAATAATAGTTATATAATTTTTATTTAGTGTTTGTTGGATAACCCTTATAGAAATATCATACTAAGAATCATTGATAATTACTTATTTTCAGTATTAAAAATACTGAATAATAAATAATTATCAATGATTCTTAGTATGATATTTCTATAAGGGAATTTACTAATAGATATTAAAACAATACAACAACATTCGATACGCGATAAATATTGATGTAATGTAGTGAACCAGTGATAATTACTTTTAGATTTTTAACAAAATGTTATAATGATTAATCCAAACAAAAAAGAAATTAAAAAATCCAAGAAAATCCAAATTAAACAAATCGAAATACTAAATTTTAAAAGAAACTTTTAAAAAATACTATTTCTGTAAGGGAAGGTGACTTCAAATGACGCCGTAATAACGTTTTAATGATGTCTATAATGTCAAAGAAATTGATACGTCAATTAATGTGGGAGCAGTGCACTTCGACACGGTGCATTTGGACACAGCCAATCACAGCACCGTGTGATTAGAGACATTTGTAGGGTCCCTTGGAACAGCGACTTGTGATTGGACTGTAGCCAATTGTCCCGTGTCCAACTGATATACACCCAATTAATGTCACAATTCTATTTAGAATATGATATATTGCTATAATTTAACTATAATATTGCAAATATATAAGTGTAATATTTCAATAATATAAATGTGTAATATTTCAATGATATAAGTATGTAATACTGCAGTAATATTTCTGTAATATTTTAATGACATATGTAAAGGTGCAATATTTCAGTAATATTTCTGTAATATTTCACTATAATATGTAATATTACCACTATATTGCAATATCACTGCAATATTTCTGCAATATTACGTGCTGTGTGGGATTAATGTATTATATTTTACGTATGAGGAAGACACGAGAAAACAGAAGCCATCTAGTGAATGATCCGCCCTTATAGAAATATCATACTAAGAATCATTGATAATTACTTATTATCCAGTATTTTTAATACTGAAAATAAGTAATTATCAATGATTCTTAGTATGATATTTCTATAAGGGATCCTAAAGATATATTTGGGATGTGATATCTTGAAGATATCCCTATGATATATTTAAGATATTCCTGCTGTGTGGGTTGTTTTTCGATGTAATAAATACATTTTTTATTAATATCAGTAAGTTGTGTACATTACTCTGCATTATCCCAGCAAACACAATAATATAACAGTTACATCGTCATAATATAACGGAATGTAACGTGCAATATAACATGTTTGTTATATGTAACATACACGTTAGTTATAATTTCCCACTCAAATAATATTGCAACTATATAACAAAAATATAATATGTTACCAAAATGTTATATAGCTATTATATATATTGCTGAAATGATACATAGCTGGAATATAAATTATTATTTCCCAGCAATTATAGGTATTTAATTGTACGCAGAGATTATAAGCTTTCACTCATATATCACTTAATTTGCAAAAATATTATAATTATATATTTTATATCAAAAATATTTTTACTAAAGGTAATAACATAAAAGTATTTTGCCATTATAAATTAATTAGCTCCTAAATAACTCAGGATATTCCAGAATCCTAGAACTATTCTAGGCGTCAAGTGTCCCAATATGTTCTCAGGCATTTTATGCTATTGGAGTTATTTTCATTTATTCATTTTCATCTTTCAGTACATATTCAAATAGAAAGGATTATTTTTGTAATAGTAATTTCAATTATTAAAAAGTGTATCACTTCTTTTTACTACAAAACTCCATAGTACAAGTTGTACGGTCTTGTGATTATCGTTCTTATATATATCCCACACAGCATGTAATATCGTAGAAATATCACAGCAATATTATATTTTCATTGCAATATTACCGGGAATATAACAGAAACAATGCTGGAATATTACTAAGATATCACAGTAATATTAAAATGTCCGCGGCAAATGCATCACAGTAATATAATGGTGAAAATCACAATTACTGTGAGAAAATCATAATATTTAAAAAACTATACTTATATATTCCTAGTTTTCTCACGTTTCATAAACTACGTATCGAAGGTTGTCAAATACACTCCAAACTTTCGTGAAATCCTCCAGCGATAATTTCGATCCCAAGCAGTATAACCACTGGTCACCCATCATCCATGTCCTAACCACATTAAACTGTTGCTTAACCTGACGATCGAGCGCGCAAGCAGTGACTCTGATGACTCCAACGATGTTCTTACAATTCATGCTTATATAATGTATCCTTATAGTGTTCACAGTACATTATAATATACTTAGCAAACATTAAATAATAGTTATATAATTTTTATTTAGTGTTTGTTGGATAACCCTTATAGAAATATCATACTAAGAATCATTGATAATTACTTATT